ATATGATACATATATATATATATATATGCTAATGGGTCATTTTGAGCAAATGAGATCTACTATGTGTGACATGAACTCTACCCCCCCATGTTAGCTGATCATAATGAGGGGAGCAAAGTATGGGGCTGTAAGAGAGAGGTCATTGAGATACTTTGAGAAACTATGGTTTAAAACAAAACAGAATGGGCGGTGGGAAGGAAGATTTTTGAACCAAAACAACTTAAATGCAGCCTACCAGTTTATTCCAGGTAATGCTGTGGGTAGAAGCCAGGGAACCTGAGACAGGGTAACAGATGTGAGGACAGAAGACTCAACCTGGAATTGAGGACAGACCTAGGACCTAGGGACCTCAGTGACCAGACAACCTATGAGAGAAAGTTTCATCTCAACTGAGGATAAAAATAAGAGTGCATTAGATAGAGGAATTAGCAACTGTCAAAGTCAGGTTGACATGGGACTGTGTGCCTGAGTGAAATGAATGAGACCTTGTAATTCCCATGTATGGCTCTGCATGTACCTGGATCCTGGTGCTCAGTGGAAGGTGATTTCCCCCCAGGGGACCCTGGGTAATACCTGGAGGCATTCTGGGTTGTATGACTAGTGACAGGTGTTACTGGCATCCAAGATGTTCTGGTAGAGGTCAGAGCTTTTTGCTAAGCATCTGTTTAGGCATAAGGTGGCCCCCTCCCACAACAACAACAACAAAAAAAAACAATTCAATCCAAAATGGTATTAGTGCAGAGGTCAAGGAACAATGGTCTGTGTGCCCTAGGATGTCCTACTTGCCACCTTCTGTCCCCTTCTCTGAGATGGGACGCACTGAAAAGAAAACCTGCTTTACCTGTTGCTTGGGCGTATTCTCATCACTACTATCTCCCCTCCTTCTACCTCCTCTCTACCTCTATCCTAGAATCAAGAGTTTGCCTGAGTCTGGGAGCTAGTTCACCTAGAAGGAAACACAGAAGTAAAAATGTGATCCTTGAGCATGACTGATTTGCACATCGACCCTGGTGTAAATAAATGCACAATACTATGCAAAGACCCTAAATTTCCCACCACTGCTGAAAGTAAATCAAAACCCAGAAATTATTCTTTATAGTTTGACCAATTTAACTTGCTAGAAACAGTAACGAGGAACATAAATCCACACTCAGTATCCAAGAGGCTGATGTGGGGTGCCTGAATCTAGACCAACTCTGTGCACTGAATCTGAAACAGGCCCTCTGTGAACTTTAGCATGTTTCTCCATCAGCATCAAAACAGAGGGGAGGACTGATCAGCCTGGCAAAGAAACAGCTTAGCTTCAGTGTTAAAACTGTGGCCTTTTTCACTACCCAGGGATCTTTGTGATACTGGTGATGTTTTACTTTGGATTCAGTAAATGCCTCTTCCCAATAGGCTGAAGGGACTGACGGCCTCTATTTCTAAAGGAGAAGTGATTTTCCCTGCAGGTTGTCTTATCTTTTCACTTCCAGAAGTTTTCCCCAATTTTCTTCCAGATTTTTTTCTTTTAGATTTGTATTTTTAAAATGGGGCCAAAAGACCTGCCTTGATCCATAATAAAATGTCTAAGAGTTGGGAAACTTCAGAGACTGCTAGCAAATCGTTTATTTCTTGACTATGGCCTCTCCTGAGAAAACTCAAAAGTTCACCCCAAGCTCTACTGAGTAATGATGAAAAATATTTACACAGCAAAGCAAGGCTGTTTATTGAATGAATATAACTGATATAACCATTCTCCCATTTTTAAAATGAAGGATACCTCAAACCATGTGCTGAGAAGAGCAAAATACCCAGGATAAGGTTGGAGAGAGAAGAAAAAAAAAAAGAACAACTTTTCCATGTTTAATAGGAAGGGCCTGAAACGCAGTATGAAATAATAACTGCAGAGTTCAAAGCAACACCCATTTCTTTTTGGACTGAAGTCAGGCTTTTGAATTTTCGAGTGGCTTGTCATTTTCAAGTATGCAATTAGCTAACTGCCCTAATTCCTCATCCAAATGCCACAACACACGCTTCTGACCATAGCTGACACTAAAACACAGCTCCGCGCTGTCCTGAGAATTGCTAACTTCCAGTTTGGGCCAACCAGAGGATTTCTGCCTGTTTGAATTCCCCGGATGGGTCCCAAGAAGGGCTGCTTGTTGCATCCACAGAAAAAAAAACACATTGGGCCCCTCAAGCCATACATTTGTGGAAAGCTAAATAAATATCCAGTGTCTCTTGCGTACTGTTCTTCATGAACAAGTAGGAGACTGTCTGTATTTGACTATCTCTGTTTTGTACTAGTTACTTTGAGTCACACAGCGTCAGCATCAGGACGGGACACCGACACGCTCAGCTGTGCCAGCCAGATGGTGGGCTGGGCGCTCAGATTCTGAATTAGGCCTGGAGGAAAAGCAAAAAGGAGTCTGGCTATTTTAGCAATGGACAGCCAATTGCCAGTGACTTCCTTTTGTTAACCTAAGGAAGAAGTATAAGCTTGCCACAATTCTATTTTTCTTTTTAATAATCTCATTTGCTAACCCTTCTCAGGACTCAACTATCAGGCTTTTCCCTTAGATTTCTACTATTATGAAGCTCAAAACAAGGCCTCTGTGCTCAACGTAACCTGCATTAGGAATTCTTTAAAATCTCTGTTAAACTGGGCATGGTGGTGCACACCTGTAATCCCAGCACTCGGGGGAGGCTGAGGCAGGAGGATCTCAGGTCAGTTTCAACTACATAGTGAGACCCTGTCTCAAAATAAAAAAAAAAAAAAAAAAAAAAAAAAAAAAAAAAAAAAAAAAGTCTGTTAAAACTACACTGTGGGAAAAGAAGAAGAAAAAAATCTCTCTTGGGATTCTTATTTGGAAATGAGTACAGAAAGGAGTTTTTAAGGAGTCATTGTTTCTTTTTTCTTCAAGTTCACAGGAACTTTCTTTTCTTTTTCCAGTGATTTTTCCCTGATGTTAGTGCAAAAGAAACGGAGCAGCAAAAGACATGGAATTAGTCTGTGCTCTGAAACTAACTTTGGCCGTGACGTGACGAGGATTCTTGTAAGTGCTTTATACCACGGCTTCACGTCACCCCAGGGACATCCGAGAGGTGAGAGGGTGGTGATCGCCAAGTGACCCCAGGCTGTGGGTCAGCAGCTCTGTGACACCACCAAATGCTTACAGAAGATGCATCCCACCCAGGAGCGCAAATGCTCCAGCAGCTTCCCTAGGCTTTCCCCTTTTCCCACACTTGGCCTAAATACAGCTTAGGAGATACACACACAGGTGCGTTTATCTTAAAATCTGACACGGAGTATTTGACTTTCCAAAGCTGTAGTTCTCTTTCCCCTCTTATCACAAAGAGCAGGGGCATCACGCCAGTTCCTGAAGGATCCCAGCCTGTGTCATGAAAGCACAACATAGCAATCACTCCAAAGGGGGCTTTTGATAAAAATGCGTCTCAACACTACAGTTGTACCTGACGTGTCATCAAAATATAAAATAAATGTTTAAAATTTTCAAAAAAATGTATTACACTTAAAAAAAAAAACAAAACAGAAGGCCATTAATTTCCCTCAAAATACTCCTGTCATTTTTGCCACTTTCTGGGGCAGGTCTAGGCGTCCTCTTTTGTGAATGTCTTTTAGAGGTGTGATAAAAATACAGTGAACGCTGCTGCCAAGTGTCATCTAAAGGAAAGACAGGCTGGTAAAAACTTGACGTGTGTCCTCACCTACACTATTGATGGGATCTGGCACCATATAATTTCTGGCTCTGCCCCAAGGTCAAAATGACCATGAAAGTTCAATGTTTTGAATCAATTCAGCGCAGCAGAGCCGCCATGACAGCCAAAACAAGTGAAGACACCAAAGAGGACTCTGGAGCTGCTTCAGAGTGGCAGGAACGAGGGATGAGTGTGTTCAAGGTGAGGGCGAGCCTTTTGAGGGGGATTCTTTGCAATGTGTCTTTCACTGTAACCAGTTTTGTAACATTCACCCTGTATTTGGATCACACTTCAAAAGGGGGAATGGAAAAGTAGCCAAGAAAGAGTTACGTTTCATGCTGTGTCCTGTTCTTCATCGATGAACGGGTGTTCTTTTGGGAACAATCACGCTTTTATTGTTTCCACTCTACTCCAGACCTGATTTTAAACCTTCAATAGTAAAACAAGGGCCATAACTAGACTGCTACTGAGGGGAGAGGGAGGTACCCCTATGTTAATATATGTGAAAAATGAAACTGTATCCATAAAGACCCAAATCAGCAATAAGATCTAAAAAAAAAAAGTGTCATCTTCCACCCAGATGGCTTCAGAATAATTTAATGTGCATCCTTAGGAGACAGCAAAGAAAATATACTGGCAGGCAAAGAAGTTACTGATCTAGGGCCTGAGACAAGAGAGGCTGCACTCAGTCTCCTGGAGTCCTTCTACTGAGCATAAGACTGCTCAGAAAATGCAGAAGTAATGCTCTCTGCTCTTTCCCAGTTCCCCAACCAGCGAAAGCGGCTCACGCTTCTACGGACTTGGTATTCTCCAGCAAGAGATCCCACCAGAGTCATAGCACTGAAAGTCTGAAGAAGACAGATGTCGTCTTTGACAACGTCCAACTTGAAGTCATTCCTGGTTTTGCTGTTATTTTTAATAAACCCCTTAAGCAAGATAAACAGACTTCCTGAATGCAGGGATAACGTTATGCGTCTACGACGAAATGACATAGAATTAACAGGATTAGCAGAAGGCTACAACTACAGAAACTCCAACTTGAGTACAGCTCAGAAACTTAAATGAATGGACTGTAGCAGCTGGGGCTAAAACTGTGAGAAAAAGAGGAGACCCTAAAGGGAAAGCATGAAGTTACTGTGGGTATGAAGGCAGGGGGGCAGGCACGGTGTGGACTCCAGAGAAACAGCAATACTGCCAGTGTCTGGGATTTCCACAGGTGTGTGCATACACTAGTGGGAGAACACATTTATCTCTCAAAGGTTTTGTGTGTGTGTGTGTGTGTGTGTGTGTGTGTGTGTGTGCTGGGAACTGAATCCAGAAACTTTCGCACGACTCTCAAGCGCTCTACCAGCGAGGTACCTTTCTAGCCCCAACATCTTCATGTTTAAAATGTTTGTAAAATGCTTCAGGGCTTTGATCCTTTGGCAAAATTCTAAGTAAGGGGGAAAAATGCATTGGTAAAGGAAAAATAAAGTAATTGCATAATTTCTTTAACAAACTGCCAAAGATCAGAAGCATTCTGAACAGTTGGCATTAAGTCCACAGGTCTCACGTCTAAACCCGCATTCTCATGAGGCGTGTTAAAAAGGGCACTAGAAGTACTTTACAGTAACTTGAGAAGCTATAGAAAATACTGAAATTCTGGCCTCTCCTGGAGCCAGCTGAACTCCAATCTCTCAGGGTGTGGATAAGACATCCCTAAGGAGACAGACCTCGCTCAGAACCAATGAACGAGCAGCCAACATTGAGAACACCTGGATTTGGATTAAACTGGTGATTCGCAACCGGCAACTCAGCTTTCTAAAACTTTTTCCACTACATTCGTTTTTACTGAAGTCTCTTCACATACCCAGAATGCTAGGGAGGGGAGGGCACGGGGAGACGGGTGATAAGAGGAGAGCAGACAGTTTGTAGAGACCCCCGCAGTGAGGTCCTTCCCCGTGACCAACTCCTCCTGACAACTATGGTTCTGAAGCAGACAAGAAGACTCACCCCTCTTCCTATGTGCCGTCTAAACCCTTGAGTAAAAGGCAAAAAGGGTAAAACTAAGCAACAACCAAATTCAAGTGCTTGAATCCAGAAGCCAAGTCAAATCCATGAGCCCATTTGAACACAGCAGACGTCATTCACACGCTCACTGGAGGAAAACAGGCAGGGGACACAACTCAGGATCCCAGAAGATGTGTGTTTTGGAGACATTCAACAACAACGTAGCAAAGTTTATTGCCTCTGCTCCTCTCTGGCCCTTCAGGCAAAAATAAAATAAACAAACAACAACAAATGGGACAATAACTAAGAGACAGCATCGTAAATCACGAGGATTTCAGACCAGGCTTGAGAATGGGCCCAGGACCAATAAAAAGTCCAAGCTGCCTGAGTTTCATAAGCAACCGAGAGCAGCTTTGTCTCATCGCGTGGCCAGAAAACTTCTGCGACAAGCAACAAGCGGATGGAAGTCGAGACCGGTGCCACGCGGAAGGTGTGGCGTCAGCGGCCTTGTATCCAGAGAAACCCTCCGAGCCCCGGGCCCTTCCGCAGTAGTGAGGGGTCAGAGCTGCTCCTGCCCGAGCTCACAGGTGGGTTCCCAGCAGCTCTGACTCCTGCCCTCCTCCCGTTATCACCTGGTCTTGTAGAACGCCCAGGTGAACTCCCTCTGCTCCATGTGGCACCCTCTTTCCACCAGCACTTGCAGCAGTCCTTGCTAGCGAGACAGGCCCGGCGCAGGCAGATTTACCTGACTGTCAGGAGAACTCTGCCCCCTCTCTTACTTTCCTTGAGGATCCTGACAATCCCATGGCAACAAAGTTAACCACCGTACCACGGCTCCGACCCGCTTTCAAGTCTACCTTAGGTTCTCTTCCCAGACCCCCAGCAATGTCTGCGAAGCCCTCATAAGCAACTACATCTTTAGTTAGCAAGCGTTCTACAGATGCTGAGGTTCTGCAAGACCTATGGTACCTACGTAGTATTCTCGAGCTGCTGGCTGTCTTCTCACAAGAGTAATTCTTTACGTCTATTCCCCAAGCTTCCAGCAGACCTTAGGCTCCAACCAATATCAAAGTGCTTACAGAAGAGCTTCTTGCTTCTGTGACACTCTGGCTTCTATTTCTTCTCTTTGCAATAGCTTTCCTCCCCTATTTCTCTTTTGCTTGGAAGACGGCTGGCACGATCTCACCTCAGAATTTATTTCCTGGATGCCTTTTCTCTGAGTTTCCCAGGTACCTTACACGGACCTCCATCCCTGGACTTGCCATATGGTAGTACTGTACTGTAAGAAATGATTCATGAAATATCCTTCCTCCACTCGGAGCTCAGCGAGGGCGACACAGCCACCGCGCTCCGCGCCAGAGAGGGCATAGTCCATAAACGCTCTCGGAATGAATGAACGAAATAAATGTATGCTTAATGGATCCGACCCAATGGAGGGAACTCGTGAGTGCATCCCCTTCTTCGGTACTTGTGCAAGGCAGATGGGGCTGTCTTACCACTGTGAGGTAAAGTCAACAAACTCTGCGGAGAACTTGTCTGCAGGGAGTTGCGGGGATGGCTCCTCCACCACCTGTTTGAGCTGCTGGAAGGGAGTCCCCCACGAATCGTAGGGGAACCGGAGGATGGCCAGCTCAATCTGGAAGACAGACAAGGAAACACCAGTTTAAACAAGGCTGGCTTCGAGAGTCAGCTGTGTTTCATTGCAGAAGAATCGGAGGGAAAAGCAAAGCTGAAGTCCAACGATTTTCTGAGGAGAAAATAAATAAACTACTCATTTTCTAGAAATTTTCCCCAAACTGCTAGTGCTAGAGGTTTTTACATATTATCCCACTAGCGACAGCCTTTCAAAACTACCTAAAACTCATTCCCTCCCTAAAACCCAGCACACTGCTTCATACAAACTGCAAGCCAACAGTATTCGTCTTCACTGAGGATATACAGCGATGCACTTTTAAAAGGTTTAGTCCGAGAAGGAATTCATAACCAGACTCTTGCAGAGCCGTGCCTCTGCTGCCACCTGCAGGTCACTTGTTGAAATGGAAAATTGGGAAGAAAAGTGGCCTGGACTCAGAAGACTTCTTTTTGGACTTGAATAAAGGTTACTTTGCGGTTCCAGGCCCACTTGTTTTCTGGGGAAGGACATGAAATAACTCACAAGATTTAATCAGCCACTGTGCCTGAGAAGAAGACAGGTCTACAGCAGAAAATTCCAGACTGTAGTGATACACGGAAACCTTACGATCATCAAAGTTAGGAATGGCTGATCCTATAGCTCTGTGTGCTGTGCCTAAGGAAATGATCCTATTTGTTATCTTATCACTAGGATATTCTTGGTCTCAACATCCAAGGCTTCTTTCATAAAAACATCCCGGGGAGCAGAAAGCATGTTCCAGACAAAATGACCTGTCCGACTCTCAGGTAGGAAAGGGTACCCAAGACTAGTATTTAGGACATTTGCTGCTGGGTCCCTAAGCCCACCCCATTCCAGGTGCACGCTCAGAAGCTCATGGCCCATAGGGTTATCACACACTACCATGGTGATGCCCAGACTCCAGATGTCAGACTTCACACTGTATCCCTTCTGGTTGAGCTCTGGGTTTATTCTTTCAGGCTGGAAAAGAGAGACAACAGAGACACTGGAAGCACACTGGAGATGACATTTGTAGCTCGATAAAGACTGTGGGGACATTAGCAGCTGCCAAGGGAGATGTTTAAAGCTGTTAACAGGCCTCCCAGACCAAAAACACACTGTGCCTATAATAAATAGCAACGTCTCCATGGGGTGTTTTTTATTTGTTTGTTTTTGTCTTCTACGTTCATCTTTTCTTACAGGAAGTAGTGGCTTAGATTCCCTTCGCAACAAATTTTAATGCTAATTTTGTGGCAAAGAAGAAACAGTATACACATTATAAAGCTACTCTGGCCATCTAAAATTATCCTTGATAAAAACACCAACAGTCCAAGCTCAGTAAAAAGAATCCAAAAGGTGGTTACTAGGCTACCATCTGGTATTCCTAGACCTAAGCAACTCCGAGCTAAATATAGATAGAAAGCTTTTCGTTTCCAAACACAAGTCCATTTCCAAACAGAATATGGTACAAGTTCCACGTGCCCAAGGTCTCTGCGAATAGCAATGAACCTTCAGAGTTGTGAGGTTCACTCAAGACTAACTCAACAACCCGTGCGGGTAATTTAAATTCGGTTTACTATTCTGCCAAAAGCTGACAAGGCAACACTCACTTGCAACTTGGTATAGAAAACCGCGTGAGCTTTATGTATTATTCTTAATGTATTTTCCAACAAAACCCCTTTTGCTTGATTTTTTAAAAATACGTATGCTGTGAATTTTTGCATCCCCCCAATCCATATATCGATCCTTTATCCAGTGATTAGTCATCAGGGAAAATCCCATTGAATGGGGTTATTGACCTTATACAAGACTCCCTAGGGAGACTCCCACCCCTCCGACAACGTGAGACACAGCAAAAATGTACCGTTGAAGAACCAGAAAAATGAGCCCTCACCACCAGACACTGAATCTGCCAGTGCTTGCCCTTGGCCTTCCCAGCCTCCAAAACTCAAAAAAACAAATTTCTGTTACTTATGATCCTCCTACAACAACCCAAAGAACAATGAAAACATAGGAAACAAGTGACTGAGGATCTCAGATGGGGAGTATTTAAGAATATAAAGTGCTGACAAATATTTTCTTAAATCTTAGGCACATTTCAATTTTCCATCTGCCTCCATCTCTTTCTTACTTCCTGGCCTGGTTTTACAGGGAGTTGTGTCTTGAGATGCCACCCCCTGCTACTGTACTTACGGCCATGTACGGTTTGCAACCTGCGTCGATTGTTTTAGCAACGGAATCCACCAGGTAGCCACTGATTCCAAAGTCACACATCTTCACTTGGCCCAGGGTATTAATCAGCACATTTGAAGGCTTGACGTCTAAAAAAAAAACAAGCACATCCGGGGTCCCACCATTCCAGCCTGCTTTGAAGATTCACTTCTCTACCACCAGAGGGCCTGAAATCTCCACTTGTCCTTCACCTTCCTTTCCCCAGGTTGCCCTACACAAAGTAACCGCGCTGCTCCTAGACTCCCAGGTACCTCCTGCGTATTACTTTCAACTGCTTTTTTCTGCTTCATGTTTTGTCTGTGCCCCGTGGGACTGTGGATCCTGAAATGAAGAGAATCGTCTCCTCTCTTTACGTGATCATCTTCATTGCTCCCATATATATAGTAACAGCTTTACTCAGGTCAAATGCCCAGTTCAAAATAATCTATTGCTTATTTACTGTGGAAGTAAGAGACTGAGAAATCCAAAAGCACGGCGACACAATGATACATCAAATATGGTCAAAGCAGCAAGCTTTGATAGTAACCTCTAGCACGGAGGTATCAGCAAGAGACGTTACCATGGTGCAGTGTATTATAAACCCAGGGATGCCAGGCCACAGGGCAGGTTACGGAAAGTGTTAATGAACAGATTTTAGATCACCCCTGAAAACTAAAAAGATAGCACCCACCTACCCACGTGCCCGAAAGATAAGCCACTATCATCTCTGGATAATAGATTTAACAAATACACATCATTTTTACCCCTTTGTGACACTTTCATCAAAGACGGACTGTAAGAAGAAAAAAGCTAATCTAAGAGCTTTCCAAATTATTCTTTACAATTTTACTTTTAAACTCATTAATACACGCATTTTATTTTGCCAGCTTTTATATTTTCCAAGAATAATTTCATGTTCTTTTTCCTACTTAGGCTCCTTCCCACTTTGTCATCCTCATCTTTTACCTGTCTATTCTTACAATTTTTAATGCTACCCATTAAATACGAATAATAATAGGCATACTATGTAAGGCACTTTACAGTATACCCAGGCTCACAAAATTTAAGAATTACCCAAGTCATAATGACCTATTAGTAATCCAAACTTTTCATTAGTTACCTTGAAGAACTAATTTATCTCTTCCAAGAAGTTTTTCCTGGCAATGGTCTTCCAGTAATAATCAATTCTTTGTTTTACATTCTACCTATGCTACTTCCATATTTGGTACTTTCCTATTTCTAAGGTTTTCTCATAGTTTTTTTTTTATATATTTATCTTCTTTCCCAATAAAGAATCCCTACAAAAAATTATAATAAGAACAATTTTCTCAGATAACCTCTCAGGACATTTATTATAATGCCGTGTTCAAAATGCTTTATAAGTGATTATAAGAGATAAATGGGTGATGGATAAATGGATGAACACAGAGGAGGATGAGTGGATGGATGAAGAAATAACAGGCCAAGGGCCAAGGATTTAGCTCAGTGGTTCCATCACCTGCCTCGCAAGTGCAAGGACCTGAGTTCAATCCCCGGTACAAAAAAAAGAAAAAAGAAAAAAGAAATAACAAGCCAAGAATAAGGGAAGGAGGGCAAGAAGGAAAAGGCAAATTATTCTCTCCTGCTTCCTGCAGTATGAGATGGTTTTGCTGTATTCTAAAGCTCTCCACACTTCAATGTGCACAAGAATCACCTAGGGATCTTGTTAAAATGTAGATCTGGATTTATCTGATGACTATGCTTTTCTATCAAGCTATTGCATGACAGCCAATCCAAGACGATGTTTATCATTTCCTCTAAAACTATCAATAATGTCATCCCACAGCTGTGTTTGGTAACACGCATTCCATATTGAATTTAGGGATCATATGAAGCCCCTATCTTCTTATTCCTTCAGGCAAGATAAAGAATAGCTTACTAATACAGTTTGGACCTTTCTTCTCTCTGTGTGTGTATGTGTGTGTGTGTGTGTGTGTGTGTTACTGTAATAAAACCCAGGGCACTGAGCTACATCCCCAGCCACAGTTTGGGTTTTTGTTTGGGTCTGTTGCTCAGACCAGGCTCAGAGTTATGATGCTCCTGCCTCAGCTTCCCAGAGTGCTGGAATTACAGGTGTGTACACCACCATGCCTGGCCAGTTTAGATCTTAAGTGCACCACAAAGGCAGCTCGGCACTACTGGGATACGATGGAAACATGAAGAAGTGGAGCCAAGCGGGAGGTATTAGGTCATGGAAGGCGTGCTCTTCAAGGGGACTTGGGATCCTTGTCTCTTCCTCTCCCTTTCATCCCTTGCTACGAGGTGAATGGGTTTCCTCTGCCATGTGCTCCTGCCATGATACACTGTCTTGCCACAGGCCCAAAAGCAGTAAGACCAATGGACCCGGGACTGACGCTGTCAAAACTGTGGGTCAAGAAAAGCCTTTCCTTTATAACTTGATTATCTCAGGTATTTTGTTACAGTAGCAGAATGCTAACACAACCACTTGCATGGTTTGCTATGCAATCTCAAAGAAGCCCTCGATTTTTCTCGACTGGCTCATCTCTACTTCCATCTATGCAGCAAAGGGGAAGTGAGAGAGAGTCTCCTGGCCAAAGAAATTAACTTAGAAAAAGCCACAGTCATGGATGCTTACCCCGATGAATGACAGAGAGCTTACTGTGTAAATGTTCTAGTGCTTTTACAATCTGTAAGAGAAAAACAAAGCAGATTTATTCACTCCATCACTGAAAAGAAATTGAATGTTAAGTATATTCATGTTGATTAACCATTGCTTAAGGTACAAGGTAAGGTATTTTCTGAGTCAAGGTTTCTATCCAGGAAAATAACACAGGAAGTTACCTAAATTGATCTCCACCCACCAGAGAAGACTGCATCTTAGAGCAGAGGCAGTGTCCTATTCATAAATCTTGTTTCTTTTTGACCACACGCATTGTTTTCTCTTTACCCTCCTGAACCTCAGTAGTTATTAAAGCAGCAGTCTTTTTTTATTTGCTTTCTCCTGATTTCCTTTGTTTTTGCTCTTAAGAAATCATTTGAAAAATCTACAAATCAAAATTGAAACGCAGTATAGATATCAGCATACAGATACTGGGAATGCAGTCATTGCAGATGAATGAACTGCTTAAACGCATTTAATGTAGAGGCTACCAAACCAAATCAGTGAGAGGATCCTCCACACGGGCCTTACAAGAAAAAGGTACTTATTCATCCACCACAAAATGCAATCTACTCAAGCGTTCAACAGACAGCGGCTAGACGGTAGACATGATGTAAGAACACTTCTTCTTACTAGGGGTACAAAGACAGCTACAATAAGAATTCCCACATTTTCCTTGTAGATACATAATATACTCACAGAAACTGCTATCTTCCCTAAGATATCCTCTGGAATTGTTTGGCCTTTATCAATAACTTGTTTGTAGAATTTATCTAGTGACGTATCCATGAGCTCCATGCAGATCCACACGTCCCCCTGGAGACCAATCAGATCAGGGATCATTAACAAGGATGGAAAAGAAAGAAGGAAAAAAATGTTTACCTGTCCTGAAGAACTGACTCTTGAGTTTGCGAGCAAAAATACAGCTTATCTTTGAGATCGCAAAGGAATTTATCAATGAGGAGAACTTCTCCAAAGAGCAAGACAACAGGCATTGATGTGGTAAGAGAACCTTCAGTTACTGTTCTCCTTGGACTCTGCACCAAGGGTCACCTACCTCACGGAAAAGTGCGCCATAGAAGGTAACGGTAAATGGACAGTCCACTGTTCTCATGGAGACATCCAAATCCATCAATAGCCTTTTCTGCTCCTGGCTATTTACGGTGGCCCGGATTCGCTGCAGGAGAATGCACAAGAAATTTATGGGTGCTACTCTGAGGATGTATCAGCCAATAAGGCGGGCACCTCAAGGATCCCCATCCTAAAAACAATACAAAAATTCACAACTGCTGGCACCTACCATAAATCAGTGCTACAAGGAGGATTGAGAGATACAGTGAATAAATGTTTAAAAATTACTACATTGAAAGACACATTGCCAAAAGACAAAGGGAACAGTGTGTTTAAAGCAAAGAGGAATATTTTGAGTATTCTGAGGCTTCATGGCAATGTGCCTTTTACTGTAATTAGTTTTTTAAAATTTAAACATTAACTGTATTTTATGATCATCTCTCACTGATTACTTACAAGCACTTTCTGTCAAATGAAAACATTACAATGTGTTATTCACCTTATTTACTGGATCTGGCACTGTGCAATTTCTGGCTCCTCCCCAAAGTCAAAATGACTGGGAAATGTTTTTAACTGAGTTAGGCACCGAGGCAGTTATGACAGTGAAACTAAAGACACTCCTGAAAGAATCCTTCTAAAACTGCTTTAAAAAGTGGCCAAAGGGATGGTATAAGTGTTTGGAATGGGAGGAGTGTTTTGAAGGAAATTAATGGCAATGTCTCTCTTACCGTAATACTTTTTTAAATTTTTTAAATATGCATCCTATTTTTTTATCTCACACGGTTGTAACAAATGTAAAACAAGAAAGACTACAGTCATTTGATTTGCTACATAGTCCCTGGTAAGAAGAAAACTGATAGTTTGTCTTAAAGAGTAGCAAATGTTTGGGAATGTATTTCCAAGGTGCATGGTTTATGTATTCTAGCTGCTCAGTGCAAAGAAGCCTCAGTATTAAATACTTTCGCTGCTTATCTGGGTACTTAAAGAGAAAACAGTCAGAAGCTCCTTTTTAAGAACATGTAGGACTATAACTATTACACTGAGCCCGCTGTGCCTCTGAATATTATTTCCAGAAATTGTCCTTCTCCCTAGATACTAAAATCCAAGGGCTCTCAACTATCTTACATAAAATGGCTTAGTATTTGCAAATAACCTATATATTATCTTCCCATATACTTTAAATCAGCTCTAGATCACTTATAATATGCAATACTATGGAAATCCTATGGAAAGAGCTGTTCTACTGTGTTGTTTAATGACAAAAAGAATACCTTGTACATATTCAGTATAATTTTTTTTCAGATAGTTTGATCCACAGCTGGTTGAGTCCACAGATACAGAACCCATGGATATGAGGGCCAGTGGTATTTGGAATAAACAGCAGCTGTGAAAAAAACTGCAACAGCTGTGGGTCTTAGAAAGAATCAAACAAATGGAGAAACCACTCATTTCTACAGCACGCTTCTGAGCAAAGCAAAACCCGTCACAAATGCAACCTTCCAGAAAGGTGATTATGTCATTAATGACAGGAAATATAGGCCTTTGCATGTTTTGTCTCTTTACCAGTGTTAGCAGAACAGACTGGAAAATCTACAAGAGAAAGGGTAGAGATCTCCATTCTCCAAAAACAAAGGGATCCAAGCCCCTAAACCCCTAACCATTCCTAACAAGGGCCCAGGCCCGTAACCCATCTAAAGATGTTCATCCTCTAAGATCCTTCTAGCATCTACTCAAGAAATACAGACTGATCCCAGATCTCTGCCACTGATCGAAGGCTGTAAATTTATGCCAGATATCCTCTTTCCAGAACAGAGACAACTTTCTGTCTCAGTTCTGGTTTCCTGATTTTCCAGGAAGAATTCTTTAACAACAACAACAACAAAATATTATAGGAAGAGGTCGATAGAGACACTTTGAGACAATTACAAAAATTTTAATTTAAGCCCAATATTAGATGAGCTTTAAAGAAAGCATTATTAATTCGTTTAAGTGTAACGATGACATGGTAGTACCATAGAAAAATTAAAATGGGGGGGCATAGGTAAAAAGTAAATCCAAAGCCAGGCATGCTGGCACACAAACCCCATCACTCTGGGAGACTGACTGGGACAGGAGGGTGACAAGTTCAAGTCCAGTGCAGGCAACTTAGTGACTTACGGGGATGCTGTCTAAAAATTTTTTAAAAAGGGGGGCTGGGATTTAGCTCAGTGGTGCCACCGCTGCTTCGCAAGCACAAGGACCCAAGTTCAATCCCCAGTACCAAAAAAAAAAAAAAAAAGAATTTTTTTTTTACAAAGAGCTGGAGATGTAGCTCAGTGAAGAAGTCCTGGCTTCAGTCCTCAGTACCTGAATGAATGAAGGAAGGAAGGAAGGAAGGATACAGCACATTCCAAGGAAGCATTTCCCACCCATTTAGAGAGAGATACTGTGGAAAGGGCTGGATTATAGCCAAAGTGGACAAATATCCACACCATGGGCAGAAGGCATCTGGGGCAACTTCAGCTCTACCTTCACTGCCATGATCTGCTCACTGGGCACATGACGCATCTTCTCCACCACTCCGTACGCACCCCGTCCCAGTTCCACTATGGGCTCCAGGTCATCTGCCTTCACCTCAAAGTTCTGCAAGAGATAAAAGTCATCATGCGATAGGGAAAGTGAAAAACAAACCGGACACTAATGAACTTGACCTCTATCTCATTTTCCCAAGTATTATAAGGATTCTTGAGAGGCCACAATACTTTCTAGCATGCAAAAACAACTAGTCTAAGCAAGAAGCCACTAGAAAAGCTTAGAGTCTCACAATGCCCACTTGCTTGGCACAGGCAATGCAGAGACCCCAATCCATCTGATTCAGTTTTCAAGAGGCTCAGCTGAACTGCACTGCACTGCAGTTCCTGAACCTTGCCCCTTTAATCATCTTTACATTCTATCACTAGCTTCTGGCAGCTAGGTCTATGTGGCTTTGAGAAATGCCCTCCCAAGAGGATCATCAGCTCTCTTCATACATCTTACGTAGAACCACAACAGCCTGATTTCAATTCACAGTTCAAAACAGCAAAAGCACCACCACGATTTTGCTTGAATTTCGAACTTTTCTTGACCCATCCCCTAAGAGCATGTTGCACATACAAAAAAAAAAAAAAAAAAAAAAAAAAGTTTTCAGTAGTCAGCCACAACGCATATATATAAAATGGTCACGGTGTGAACTGGCAGGCATGACTTTTCTCACCTGATTTCCAATAGAAATGCAAGCCTTGGAGTCTAAATCTCTAGGAGGCCTAGGGAAGACGAAGGGAAAAAAAACAAACGTGAGGTATTTGGTCAACTCTCCTTTCCAAACCCTATGTGACAGACAGGAGAGTTTTTCCTAAGGAAGAAAGGGACGTTCATCAGTCGAAATAGCACAACAGTACAAACAGAACAGGACTAGAAGTAAAACACCTTTTGAGTTTAAAATACTTTGAGCCTCTTTGCCATGGGATTTTAGACACTACCCTCTGTAGTAAGAACGCGCATTAAATGAGATATTCTAAGTACAGTCCTTAGCACGATGCTTGGCATACTGTGAATAGCCAATAAACAGGAGCCACAAGTGTGCAGTTGTATGAATAAGTATGCTAGAGAAACGAGCCTCTTCTTTCATCCACGGGCTCCAAAGTAACTAATCATTTCACCACTCTTTTCCACCACTCTTTCCACCACTCTTTAAAAAAGAAACACCTCACGAAATTCATAGAACACAGGAGTTCTCAAGGTAGACCTTTCCTCTACAGACAGACGACGGAAGGGTTCTGAGAAATGAATGGTCTGTCCCCGTTCTGAAGAACTCCCAATTTGTATCTCAGTATCCTTTCTTTTCTACCAGGCTGTCTAATCAAGGCCAGTGATTGCAGATCGTGAACAAACTCTTCGGTGAGCTTCTCGGGAGCCAAGGGTTTGTTCATTTTGTGCCTCCATGGTCTCCTCCTGTGTTCTTTTTTCTATTATTTCAATGACCTCTCTGTGGGCAGCAATTTACTTTGGAGAAAGAAGTTTGGCTTCCCCTGGGCATTTAACTAGGAGCCTTGCAAGGTTAATTTTTTTTTTACATAAATGTACCAAAAGTGTTACGATAAAAGTAGCAAATGCCAAGAAACATATTGCTAACACTATCAAACAGAACAACTACCAGCTGGCTAACCACCAAGGAATCCGGGTGCTGTCCTTCCCAAGGATGGCCTAACAGGGGCGAGTCAAGTCTTCCTGGAGGCCAGTTAGTGACAGAATTGTCTTAAAACAAGGTACAAAGGAAAAAGAAAGGAAGGTTGGAGGTAGAGGAAATGAAAGGAAGAGAGGGAAGAATCTTTTGCAATTGTTCCCAGCCTTGTGGGTTATGATTCTACCCCTTCCGCTCAAACTGAACATGCATAAAATAATGAGAAAGAAGTAGGAAAAAATGGAAATAAAGTGTTTGTAAATGGGGAGGGGAGGAGGGGGTGAAGGGAGGGCAGGGACAAGGGGAAAAATGAGAATCAAGACCTATTATGTAAAGGTACAGAATCCCAATGATGAATGTAATTGTATTGTATACCTAGATTGTACCAATAACCTCAATAAAAAGAAAAAAAAAGAGAAGTAGGAACGTAAACACAGATATAAGCATGAATGTAAGATTTTAAGGGTGAATCTTTCCTCACCTCAAAATCTCCATGATATGCACAGAATACTTGAAATTTCTCCATACTAACTTAAAACAGAGGCCAGGGGTAAAGGAGAGAGAACAAAACAACACACACACACATACACACACACACACATACACACACACACATGGTAGTGATGCTCTTGTGCATCCTGCATTGCTCAGCAGGAAATTTATCTTCAGAGAAGTTTTCCAGAAGAGTCCAATTTCTGAAACATCTCATTTCTCATTCTTAAAATGTCTAACGCTGTTTTTTTTTTTTTAGTTATCACAATGGTAGCATTCATCCACACTTTTAAAAAGACAAGGTATTGAAGAATTGCAAGGTATTTTTTAATTACTGATATTAATCCTACATTTCAGGTGGTATTTGTTTTTATTTTGAAGGTCTCTATAATTAATACAAATTGTATAGGAGAATGGATATATACTGAGGATATACTCCTAACTGAAATAAATAAGTCACACATGTATAAATACCTAATAGTTTCTCTGGTGTGAAAAACTACAATGGTACATAAGATCCTAATTGTATAATTGACAGTGTGAAATAGGAAGAAATGGGCTAAAGGTATAGGGGAAGTGGGAAGGGTAGGGGAAAGGAAATAAGGGAAAAGAAAAAAATCATGAGAAAATGAAAAGATAGAAATAAAGTATTTGTAAATAAGGAAGGGAAGAGGGGGTGAAGGGAGGGCAGGGATAAGGGGAAAAAATGACAACCAACACCTGTCATGTAAAGATACAAGATCCCAATGATGAATGTAACTGTACTGTATACCTAAAATGTACCAATAAACTCAATGAGGAAAAAAAATAAAAGTATAGATGAAGAGAAAAATCCACATACATGGGCCACCTCCATTTTCTTGCCAACCACTGAGGGTATTGGATAAGAGCTCTTTCAGATCTCTTATTCTTATATTCTATAATAGCTCTTGGCAGTCTGTAGCCTAAAAAGGACTTTTATAAGTTTAATTAGTTGAAAAATACCACCAACAAAGGATGATCAGCAGATGCTATTGCACCCCGGTTAGCCTAAAATACTATCTGGTCTTTTAGAAAAAAGTTTGTTGACCTGAACTTTACAGTAAACATGCATTACACCTTCCAGCTCAATTTAATAGGAGGGCAAGGTGCCACTTTCCAGATTAAGAAAAAGAAAATCCTCAAAAGTGTAATTTTCAGAAGCCATGCAGTTGTTAGTAGCATTGAAAAGAAAACTCAGGTCATATGAATCTCAGCCTTGACCTAAAGAGGAAGAGAAATAGGAAACCAGAAAACTGGACAAAGTTATTAACCTGTTCCGGCGACGCCCATCTGAGACTAAATCAAAGAACCAGCTCCCAATTCCCTGTGGTAGCTCATAAAGGTGGTGAATCCACCTGAGCCTCAGGCCTCTGGGTTCAAGTCTGCCAAAAGCATCAAACAACGGAGCCAGGAGTGACAGTTCAGAATGAACTAACTGACACTGTATTCTTTCTGTCCAGAGCTGGGCATATTCATTTGCCAGGGGCATTAAGACTCTGCAGGAGGTTTAAACTGTGGGTGGATGCTTTCTGTCAATTATTCAATATTTTAGCCATGTGCGGAAAGAACTAAGCTTATTACAAGATTCTTTCCCTGGAAGACCAAAGGTATTCCAAAGGTCACCTAGTCCTAGTGTTTTATATGAGCTACCAGCTTCGGTTTATTATAATTATTTAGTTCCCTGGTTATCATTATTACTAATTTATTTAACAAGTTTTATGACGTGCTCACGTGGACCAGAGACCATGCTAGAGCATTTTCATTAAGTAGTTTGACTTTTACAACTTTTAGTATTTTTATCTCTTTTCAATGCAAAAGAACTGACACTGAAAGAAATTAAATAACTAATGCTCATTCAAAGAGATGACGACATTTAAACCCACAGCTGCATCGTGATGACGTCTCAAGCACAGACGGAAAGGATTCTACTGCGCTCAGCCATGACCTGTTTGGTCACACTCTCACCCAGTCTAATGTGTGGCTAAAAACACATATGAGACAGAGAGAACCTCAGTTTCAGTTCTGTCGCTTAGAAGCTGCCATAATAAACAATCTGGAACTCCCTTTCAATAAGCAATTACAACAAACCAGGTACTGAGCTAGACGTTGAATATGGATTATGACCCCTAATCCTCCTAACAAGCACATGGAATTTATTCCTGTTTTTTAGAAGGGGAAACTTTTAGTGCAATAAAGTGTATTTGCCTAAGGTATTCAACTAGTGAAGTTCATATCCCAAATGTAAATAACCTCAGGATTTTGGCTCCAGAGCTTGAACTCCTCTTACCCTTGAGGTTACACTGAACAGCCCTGAGCCAAGCCATGACCCTTACGCAGTTGTGTTGTCTCACCTGCCACGGGAGAGGAATAAACACTGCCTCCCCCATCTCTTGTGAGGATTAAATGAAACGACACTAGCAGGGCAGAGATATAGAATTCGTTACTACCGATCAAGTGAGGGGACAGCTCAGAAAGCTGAGTCAAAGACACACTGGCACCAGCAACTCAAAGGAAGAGCTCAAATAGGAGGACCACACACACACACACACAAACACATCAAAACAG